AATGGAGCTATGGCCAAATTTTTTTGTTGATTTGACTCAAAAATAAAAATACACAATTAAACTAAATAGATATTATGTATAAAGGAAAAAAAGGAAATAAATGAAACTGGTACTCCATTATTTTTGCTAAAAAAGTTTTAATTTGGCTAAAATTATGGAGTTCCTACCAAATATTTTGCAAATTCGGCCAAATACAAAAAAAGAAATATGCAGTAGGAACAATTAAACATTATATCTTAGAAGAAATTAAAAATAATAAAAGTTAGAGTAAAGTCCACATTGTATGTTAAGATGAAGCAAGAAGAAATACATAGTTGTAACAAATAAATCATTATATATGACTATATGACAATTAAAAGTTAAAAAATAATCTATTTGGAAGCTGATTTTTAAATTTTTCTTCACTTTCACGCGCTTAAAAGAGAGTACACCCACACTCTTTGTCACATCAACGTCCAGGGAGTAATGGCTCTCAAAAGGTCAAGTTGAAAAGGGTAATTAAGACCACAAATAGTTTAGGGCTGTAACTAATAATCCGTACCAAATTTAGGGGGGTTTTACGTATTTCTGCCTAAGAAAAAAGAGAGTTATAATTTTGTAGACTCTCACTCCCACATTTTAAATGTTAATCTTTAGCATCATAAGAAAGAAGATAGTTGCAATTTTGTAGACTACCAACTCTTTCTCTCTTTGAAGAGATCTAAAGAGTTCCGTGAAAAACTTTGAAAGCTTTTCCAAACGTGTCTTTTCATAAAATCATTCGGAGGATCGATAATTACACGTGTTAGTATGATCAGCAAGTGTTTGTGTTCTCGCTCTTTTTCTTTCTGGGAAAAACCGACAATTACACGTGTTATTATAAAATCAGTAACAGTTTATCAATTTCGTCACTCTTTATATTTATGTGGAGAACTGACAACTACACGTGTTATTATTAGTAATCACTTTTCTCATTCTTTTTATTTACGTGAAAGACCGACAATTACACGTGTTAAGACGAAATACTTAAATCATTTCACGTAATAAGTTCATTTTGACTTTTCAACTTTATGAGAAGCAAATAACTTGATTTGTGAGAAGCATATATTTGAAATGAGAAGCATATATATATCGTATTTAAGTATGCGAGTTCACTCATTTTTTAGATGATATAATATAAATTTTCTAAAAATTTAGGGCCTTTTAATATATTTTGACTTTGAATCACGAAATTCATCGAGCCGCCCACCGCTTTCTTCTAGAAATTTTCATATCTAGCCCTAGTCTCGAACAAGAGACCTAAATTTGTTTCACAAGGTACAGTCCACGTAGCCATTGTCAAAGTGGAAGATTAAGGAAAGGGAAATAAGTACATAGTACTAATTAAGCGCTTGGAGAAAAATCTCCAAATACACCATGTATATATTTCCACTCTTCACATGCATTTTAATTGACTTAAAAAACATTTTTTCTCATTTTGAAATCTATAAGACTATAACGTAAGGAAAAGAAGGAAAGGAAACTTCAATGAGAAGAGAAATTAAAGACTTGTAATTTGACTTGATCTAACAGCTAATTCACCACCTTTTACATGTTCAATGTAACTTGACTTGCTATAACAAATCATATACAGTCAAATCTCTCCATAACAGTCTTGTTTGTTTCGATATTTTGGCTTTTAAAGTAAATGACTGTTATATACTTATAACAACATTTGACGTTTAAATATTTTTTGACTGTTATAAATAAAAACTTATCTAAAAATCAATTGATTTTCTTTTTTTAGTATTGTATATATAAGATAAGAAAATTATTCAAATTTAAACTCTAATCCACACATTTTAAAGCTACTAGGAAAATAAGATCTTTTGAGATTGATGGAATAATTTTGTAATTGTAGCTGTTTCGTAGATTTCATTCTCTTACCAATATAACGCTTGAATTTGCGAAAATTCGTGTCCATATTTTCAGCAAAAAGGTATTCAATATAAAATATGTCATGTGCAAATCTTCAAATCTTATGTCTTATGCAAGATATAAACTTCGTTAAATTAAAGGATTGTGTGTATATTTTCAGAATTATTGTTAGTAATCTTTAATATTCTATATGGCTGTTATAGAGGGGTAATTTTACAAAGAGCATTAGGTAAAAAGCTGTTATAGAGAGGTAGATCATAACTTAAAAAATCAATTATGAGAAAACTTAGCTTTTACAGTTAATGACTGTTATATATGGATATAACAACAACAACAACGACCCAGTGAAATCCCACTAGTGAGGTCTGGGAAGGGTAATGTGTACGCAGACCTTACCCCTACCCCAAGGGGTAAAGAGGTTGTTTCCGAAAACTCTCGGCTCAAGGAGACGAAACTTAGCTTTTACAATTAATGACTATTATATATGGATGATGTGTATAAATTTGTTACCCTGTTAGTGTAAAACAATCAGGGGCGGCGCTTCCCTAAAGCAGGTAAAGCAACCGCTTTAGGCCCCATATTTGTGGGGCCCCCATTTTTTGTAACACCTGATAGGCTATATATAAGTTTAAAAAATGTTAAGTGAAGTGAAAATGTTTGATTTATTCCTTTGACATATATAGAGATTAAGGATTTACAAGTGCTATAATTTCTGCCAAGAAAATTGCATTTGAAATGAATATCGAACCCGAGTTTTGTAAGAGACGTGTGATATATAGAAAGAAACAATTTGGTAAGAATATTGATAATAAAATCTCAAAATCTCTCGAAGAGTATTTTAGAGTTGATTACTTTTGTACATAGTAGACAAGGCTATTTTTTCACTTCAAAATAGATTTAAACAATTCGAAGCATATGAAAATATTTTTGGTTTTCTATTTAGCGGTAAAAAACTGAGATCGCTCGATGATAGAAATTTAAAAAAAATATTGTCTTTATCTTGAATGTTCCTTAAAGCAAAATAATCAATTCGATATTGATGATTTAGAATTATTTTCTAAATTAAAAGCGTTAAGAAAAATAGTACAATTAGAAGATACAGTTTATTGATATACTCAATCAAATAAAAAGATTTGATTCTTTTCCAAATACTTATATTGCTTGTAGAATAATGTTAATAACTTCTGTTCCTATTGCTTCAGCGGAAAGAAGTATTTCAAAATTAAAAAATATTACCTAAGGTTAAATGGATTAGCTATATTGTCGAAATACTTTTTAGGAGAAATTAATTATAAGAAAATTATTAATAATTTTGTATTTAAAAAAATCTAGAAAAATAGATTTCAAATAAATAAATAAATAAAATTTAAAAAGAGGTTAAGGCCCCTCATAAAATTTGTCTTTTAGGACACAAAATTTATTGGGCAGTCCTTGAAAACAATCTGTCACTTCTTCAGATGCATTTCATATTGAATAATAAAATATATACGAGAAAGTAAAAGTCAAAAAACAAACATAAACTAGTAGCTCATTGTTCTTATTTTTTTCCCTCCCATTCTAAATTGTTTTTTTTAAAGGAAATGATCCATGTACAAATAAGGTAATTGTGTCAAAGTCAACATATATCACAACCACTTAGAAAGGAGAATTTACAATTCGAAATAAGAAAAATAATCCATCTTTCCATGCTTAACCATAATGACATTCTCTTCTTAATATTATTTTTCTCTCTTAGAAAATACTTTTTTGATAGTTAAAGTTATCATTGTGCAACTTATATATTACGAGTTTAAATTGTAGAAATAATCACTAATGCTTGCATTAAGTAGCTATTTATTTTACATCCTTAAAAGTGCGATCCTTCACCAGATCCTCTGTCAATACGGAATACATTGTACACCAAATTATATTTTTTTTTTCCTCAGAAAATAGTAGTGTACTTTATTTTATTCCAAGAAATTCACACCACTCATTATGTCACTATGTCATGATTCTACTACGTGTACATTACGGAAAGCCGCCTCCCATTAATAATTGCTGTTACCAATAATTTTAATTTCAGTAATTTTTTCTACTAATGCCTAATTTTTGCTTAGAATACCGACCAAATGATGGTAAGATTAATTAATGATAATAGAAAATTAGGGTATTTATTAATTAACGACCAAATTTGGGTATAGTGGGCTCAAATACGGGTACGGACATCGAATGGGTAAACCCAACCAAAAAAATCATAATATTTTACTAATAATTATCATTTATCATTTTTGTCGATATTATAGTAATTATTATTATTTATTATTATTATTATTATTATTGTTATTCATATTATAATACTCCTTTCGTCTTAATTTATGTGATAACCCTAATCATTGTTACTTTCTTCACTTATAATGATATACTTTTCTTTAATAATAATAATAATAATAATAGTAATAATAATATAATGCTCTTTTTCGTCCTAATTATGTAGTAATTTTTCGAGTGTTAATTTAACTATTCTTTGTAGCTAATTATATTAGTTTAACTCAATATTTGAAAATTATGAGATAGATATTTAAAATTATATATAAAATATTATAAGTTATAATTCTTCTCGTGTTAATTTAGTATAAAAAATTATTGTAAAATATTAATTCAAAATTTATATACTTTAATTTTCAAAAAGCTAAAAATACCACATATAAATTGGATAGAGGGAGTAATAATACTACTCTCTTTTAGGATGCAAATAATAAATGCTCTTGACTCTGCTCTATTTGCTGCCTTAAGATTTGTTTGCAAATTCAATTTCGTGGCAAAATCTCCTGAATTCCCACTTCCCCAAATATTCTGGAAAAATAATCACCTTCCTTCATTCCAGCAAAAATATCTCACATACCTCGATAATTATAAACCAAAAAAATAAAAAGGAAAAAGCAAAAACAATAAAAAAAGAAAAAGAAAAGAAAAGAAAAGGAAACAAACATATATAAATTGAGCCCTTAGTAGAAATAAGGGCCAAAAAAGCTTCTACGCTTTTCTTGCAGTAACATCACTGTAGCATATATTCATAGGTCAGTGTTTTTTTGCTCTTCCAACTTCTACATTGAACTTAATCTGATATTTGTGATTAAATATTTTTTTTATTTCATTTTTTTTTTTGCCTCCATTGTGTTTTCTGGGTTGTTACTTGTGTTTGCTTTAATGCTGAAGTGGGTTCTTCTTGTTTTCTTCCATTTTTTGGTATTAAATCCCAAAGGGGTTTCGAAAAAAGTAGTACCTTTTTTTGGGTATTTATTGTGTTTTCTTAGTTGCAATGTGTAATTTGATGACTGTTATAGTTTACTGCTGCACTTTTTCTCTTGAATATAAGCAGTTGCCTCTGAATTATCAGTTGTTTGTGAATTTTGTTTAGTTTAAACATACCTCTTTTACCACCAAGGGTGTGGTGGGATGGATGGAATCTCGTCATTCTTAACTATAGGTCTCGGGTTTGAGTTCCTGGGAATGGAGAAACTGCTGGTCGGGAGAGCTTTCCCTTTTAATGGTCCTACGTGGTACCCGAATCTGGATTAGTCGGGCAAATCAGGTTTCTGATACAAGATGCTTATACCCAAAAAAGTAGAAAAAAAGATGCCTCTTTTATGAATATTTTAATGAGCTTTTATGGCTGGACATTTGTTCGTGACGACATGCTAGTTGCTGTGTTTATTAGGTTATGGTTAAAGTTTATAGGACATTCAGATAACTTTCAACAACAGTAATTTTCAGATTAACTTTAGTGAAATCTGTTGAAAAATCAAACCGTTCCTGTTTTGGATTTTGTGATGTCCGTGTTTCAGTATTGTTTGTTTAAAAGGTTTGTCTTTATTGAAAAACACCTAGCTTGGTTGGTACCAGTGTTTACAGGAAAATGCATGTACATGTTCCCTGTTAATTGCATTCGAGCAAATCAGTAACGTGGTTGCCTTAGTAGTAATGGAGTAAGACAACATCTTAGTTTGAGTCCAAATCGATGAGAAACTTACCCTTGACTTTGCCCCTTATCCTTGTAAACACTTTTAGCAGCATATGCAGATGGAAATTTAACCTTTATGGTATATGCCATCATATACAGAGGTAGAGCTATGATTTGAAGCTTATGGTTCTGGGATTCTAGTTCTTTTTAGTTACTGGGTTCTAAATTAATAATTTGTACTATTCAATAGATTTTTTAAGACACATACAAGGTTTGGACCAAAGCTATTTTGTTCTACAGAACCCGTAGCCAAAGAACTAGCTCTGCCCCTGCTCATATACATGCAAAAGGCTGATGCTGTCTGCATTAAATCCAACAATTGATGTATTCATAATAGATGTCTGTTAGTTAGGAAGTGAATGTTCCGTGAAGCCTCCCGATTTTAGTAACAGTTGACTATGTCAGTCCTGGAGGATATGTTTTTGGGTCATAGGATAATGGGCTATATTTTCAATCATGGATGATAACAATCTTTCTACTTAAATGTTCGTTCGCGTTGTGGTCCTTTAATCATTTTTCCCGATGATGCTCTACTGCAAAGGCAACCTTGATTTCTGCTATAGCAGCTATACCATACACTATAGTTTCTCTTCTCTGCGGCTCTGCCTATCCAGTCTCAGTGATGCAACTAAGTTGTCGGAGATCCTACCAGATAAAATTTCTACAAGTCATGAGTGTAGTTGCTGTGATTACAAGCACGTGATGACTATTTTTTTGTGATTCCAATGTGTATTTAATATTTTAATGAGAGAATGATGCTTGACTTTTCATTTAAGCAAACCATAAGAATTGAAAATCAGGGCAGCTTTTATGCAAGAGATTCTGTAGGGTTTACAGTGATTATGTGAGCATAATTCTTCGGTGCTTTATCTTCAGCATGTTAATAAGTTAATTATTAGATAAGAAATTTTATACAGGTCTATGATTATTAATTGCATCATTTTGGCTTATGTTTTTATACTGGATCATTGTATTCTCATTCTGATCTTTAAATGGGTTGTTTTGTAATTACAGAGGATAATTCTGTGTAGTTTTGATTCTAAAATGGCTAAAGATAATGGCAATGCTGAATCAAATCATCGAAGAGCTGGTCTCTTAAAGGACCAGGTTCGACTAGTTAAGAGAAAGAATTGTGATCGATATGAGATTGTCTCGATACCTGATAATTTGTCATTTGAGAAAGGATTCTTTGTTGTAATCCGTGCATGCCAATTGTTGGTTCAAAAGAATGAAGGATTGATTATAATTGGAGTAGCTGGTCCCTCTGGAGCTGGAAAGACTGTATTTACTGAGAAAATACTCAGCTTCATGCCAAGTGTTGCGGTTATTTCAATGGATAACTACAATGACGCTAGTCGAATAGTTGATGGCAACTTTGATGGTAAGAATGTATTTACTCTCTCTCTCTCTCTCTCTCTCTCTCTCTCTCTCTTTAAATTTTTTTCCCCAGCCACTTCTTTGAGGCCCTCTGGTTACAAGTGGGAAATTTCACTTGTATACCATGCTTTGACTAAAAATTTCAAGTTCACACCGATTTCAAGGAGGCTCAAAGGTTCAGGACTCTATTATTCTCTGTAGAGTTGGCACTTTGAGTTCTTATAAACCTCCCTTTTTATTTTTCTTTATCATTGGGAAAGTCTTGGTGATTATTCGGCAAAATCCTACTGAATAGAGCGCTATCCTCTTTCGGCTACTGAGTTAATCCTTTAATTTGAGAACACCAGACATTTTGCAAAGAGTTGTGAGAGCCACAGTATATTGGCTAATCTTTCTCTGCTTAATTTCTTTTATGCACAGGAACGAGGTGGGTGCCTCTTCTAATCGTGAAACATATATGTTTAATAGAAGATAACATTCAGTGAAAAAGTCTGAGCTGAGATCTAATCTGCTCTTAGCTGATTTCTCTTTATTGCTTTATCCTGATATCGGTGTCACTAGTACTTCTAGATTAACTTAATACTAGATGATTTGTACTTTACCAGGTCTAAATATGTTTTTGAAACAGATCCACGACTAACAGACTATGATACGCTGCTAAAAAACATCAATGATCTAAAGGCTGGGAAGCCGGCTGAGGTTCCAATATACGATTTCAAATCTAGCTCTCGTGTAGGCTACAGGTTCAGCTCCTTACTTCTAATTCATGTAATATGCTATGCTTTTTATCTGCATGATGTCATTATGCATTCAAGCGACTATTAAAGTTTTGTTTACCTGTTCTTAGTCTTCGAAAATATTATGTTTGAATGCTTAAAAGGGAAGTGTACCTCCAAGCTTTCAGCTGTTTGCAGATCCATATATGAATTTGTTGGGTGGGTTCTATTACATGGCTAAAACAATAATGACATCTTTGGAGCTATGGTACCTAGACTCTTCATTGACCTGATTCAAACAGAAAATTAACTATAAATTGACATACCCAAATTTTATACAACTAAGTCCATTGTTCATCTTCGTGGTGGTTTATGCTATCAACTAGTTTAGTTTTGCTTGTTTTTTGTCTCTGTGGTCTACTCAGAAGGTGCTTGTTCCTTGACTCGCGAATGCTACTTAATTGGCATCAGGGTTGCTGATTTTTCATAACATAGTTGGAGTTCAGTCATTACATAGTTGTCTTTATTCTTTGAAATGAGGCCCCACATTACTCTTCTTTTCCTGGTCAAGGTTTTAGTTTACGTTGGTCTTTGACCCCCTTCTCTTGGCTGATTTATCCTTTCTGACAAGTTCTTTACTGTGGTTGGTTTTTCTTGTCATATGTCTATTGAATAATAAGCCTTTCTTGTTCAAAGTTGGGAACACACCTTTTTTGTTTTCTTTTAATTATCCAAGGTTTATCTGTTACATTTAGTATGATCTGAACTTATGCCATTAGCTGTACTGCAGGACTCTTGAAGTACCTAGTTCCCGCATTTTGATTATTGAGGGTATCTATGCCTTGAGTGAAAAGTTGCGTCCTTTGTTGGACCTTCGCGTATCTGTGACAGGTGGAGTTCACTTTGATCTTGTAAAAAGGGTTTTACGTGATATACAACGTGCCGGGCAGGAGCCATCAGAGATAATCCATCAAATATCTGAAACGGTCTGTTTCCTCTATGAATTTTGGTCAAAAAAGGACTTGAAACTTTCTGTCCTCACTCTCCGAGCCATAATGTCTGGTGCAGGTTTATCCAATGTACAAGGCTTTTATTGAACCTGATCTCAAGACTGCACATATAAAAATTATCAACAAATTTAATCCGTTTACTGGATTTCAGAGTCCTACATACATTCTAAAGGTAAGGATATTAAAAGTAAATAGCACTTCTAATTTCCTGACATGGAAAACTATAGCAATCAGAAATAAATGACTATTTGTTACAAAAGAAACGAATGACTTAGTTAAAATTATAACGACATAAAAGGGCTTATCTAATCTCTTGTACCTTTAGTCTTCTAGGAATGTGAATGTAGATCAAATCAAGTCTGCCCTATCTGAAGAACACACTGAAAGTACGGAGGAAACTTACGACATATACCTTCTGCCACCTGGTGAAGATCCAGAGACTTGCCAATCATATCTGAGGATGCGAAATAAAGATGGAAAATACAGTCTCATGTTTGAGGTTTGTCTCTTTTGTTATAGTGATCAGTGCTTTTGACAAAATACTGACCAACTGCTACAAAGTACTTTTATTTGCTAGGCCATTTTGGCATTACTATGTAGGCTATTGATGACAATCTGTTATTCTCCTAATTAATTTTCGATAGTCGTGTGTGTAGTACTATTCACTTTCCTGAAACACTTGAATAATGTTCAAGCTTTTGGGAAACAACATTTTCCTGTCCTTTTACCTGCATTCTCTATTTTGAGATAGTATCAGGGGCTAAGAAAATTTCAAGTTACTTTTTGCATTCTTAACCCTCTATTTCCTGTAGCTGATGTCAATGACCTAGCGCTTTAGTGTTATTTCGTCAAATAACTTGAAAAGAAAAAGAGCGTCAAAGACTTCCTTGCTCATTTTATGTTGCAACTGTTGTATGCCACTATAAGAATGCAATACTGTGGGATTGATTGGCACAATTATCCAACAGTACATTTTATGTTACAGCCCTCCTGATTCGTTCTTTGGATTATATCCTTTATTGAGGGACTTGAGGATGTATTGGTTACTCGTCTTAATTTCTACTCCATGGTTATATATTTACTTTATTTGATTATTTGGTGGTGCTTGAGTCTATCAGCTTTTCTTGACAGACTAAATTTGCCAAGAATTATTTGTACATGTGAAAAGCTGGTATACTTGAGTTTTTTGATGGTTGCAACTTAAATTGTAGGAGTGGGTCACTGATTCTCCATTTGTCATATCACCAAGAATCAGTTTTGAGGTTAGCGTGAAGCTTCTTGGTGGATTGATGGCTTTGGGATACACAATTGCGGCAATACTCAAAAGAAGCAGTCACGTGTTTTCTGATGAAAAGGTCTGCGTGAAAATTGATTGGCTAGAACAACTGAACCGCCATTATGTTCAGGTAGTAGACTTGTTTTACCCTTTCCTCCTTGCTAAGATACATGCTAAAATCTCGTCATTTTGTTAACTCTCCGGTCTTGGCAATGATGTTAAGCTAGAAAGCGATCCTTGAAAAATTTGCAAAGGCCTTTTTGGGTTTTAGTTTTTATTGCATGGATTATTATGGTCATTCTGTCATTCGCGGGGAAACCAATGCTGCCTCACTAGCAAATGATTTAATTCATAAAATAGGAAAGCTTGAAAGTTGCAGTGAGTTCTTTAGGCATCACTGTTTTATATATCTCTAATGGTGTCTGCATGATATGTCAAATATTGTCCAACTGCAATAGCTCACTTTAAATTGTTCACTATCCAAGGAGATATAAGCTGAGTATGTATTTTTCTCCTGTTATCTTGAAGAGGAGTAAACTGGCAATTTGCAGCTTCTGATTTATTTTGGTTTACCAATTATAGAGAGTATAACTGGCAAGGAAGAGGTGTTATTTTAAGACTTTGATGTCAACTGCATTAGTTGAGGATTGATCTCCCTGTTGATCTTTAATAATTCAGATTGACTGGTTGTCTCTTAGGAGTCAGGACTAGGAATATTGTTTTAAACTTCTAATATGCTAGATTTTCTTAACTTTGCAAAGGTACAAGGAAGAGATCGCCTTATTGTAAAATCTGTTGCTGATCAGCTGGGACTGGAGGGTTCATACACTCCACGTACATATATTGAGCAAATACAACTAGAGAAGCTGGTGAATGAAGTTATGGTATGCACAGCTTCCATAGCTTTTCTTAATGTGCTGTTATGGTTTTCTGTCACTTAGCAGATATATCGCAGGCACTCCCAGATGATTTGAAAACAAAGCTTAGCTTAGATGAAGATCTTGTCTCCAGCCCGAAAGAAGCTCTCTCTCGAGCCTCAGCAGAGAGAGTAGCATGGAGAAATAAGAATTTCAGAGGGTACACATCTATCCCCTTTTTTCCCTCTCGACTAAATAGCTTTAAGTAATGGCTTAATGCTTGTTACAAAAGAACTAAAAGAAAGGTGTGAAAAACAGCGGATTTCATCAATAAGCTGAATCATGTCTCTCCATGCCAGTAATTGCTTGTGGCTCAATACCGTTAATAGAAGGCTGCTTAGATTAAGCAATCCTTTTAACTGCTGTCAGCAAATGAATTAATCATTAGTGACAACTATCCTTTTCTAATAAAAGAGGGAAAGAAGAGGAGGGGGTGGCGGCACTAGAGAGTCTTGTAGGTGAGTACTGAGAGGAGCTTCTTCAGCTCTAATTTGCACACTTGACCTATCATCTAGATGATTTGCCACCTATGGTTTGTACATACTAATGTGGCTGCAGGAGTTACTGGATGAGAGAGCTACTGAAGAAAGAAGAGGATAAAGTCTCACCATATTCATATTCATGCATATTCTGATAGGCACGAGCTTATGTGTATATGTGCCTATGTGTCATTCTGTTTGATGTGTAGGTTGAATAGTTCGCTCGCAGATATTAATTTGTTTGATTAGGTCTTCAACTCCTTATCAGTTTGTACATAAGCAAGTCACTCTTTGCATTCTATATTCTACGAAATGCTCTGACTTGGCTGGGTATCCTGGTGAGAAACCAAATCCTTATAATGAACAGCTGAGCAGATTCAATGTTTTTTTAGTCATTAGCAATTTGCATGCCACAATAGCGGTATCATTGTTCTGTGTATTTTAAGGATTTGTCACCAGGACTTCTCATACACGTTATCTCTCTGATGACATCCTACGAATTCTCAATGGTTGGTTATATGAAAGTGGCAATATTCTGCTGTTGGTGATCTTGTCACCTTATCCTGCCCTTGCACGTTCAAGTTTGCTTCTACGCTTTTATGCATTTTTGTGACTCAGATAATTTCCCTGTTAGAGCACAGTTCAATTATAAGTTGTATGATATCCACAAAAGTTATTTGTATTGTGAAGTATGTTAAAGTTTAGGTAAACGATGCAAGGGCATACTGCTGAATGCTATGAATGGTTGAGTTGTGAAACATGGAAATATTAACGTGTTGTTCTCGTTTGCTTGTTGGTGCCTGTTCAGTCCTGGACTGTTTTAGACCTTGGCATATTTGGGTGTTTATGTCCTAGATAGGAATTTAAAGAGCATTAGTCTTAAATGTGAAGTGTTTCAGAGACTTGCATGGATCCTCCATCCTTATTGGAATGAAACCCGTCGATGACGAAATTTTTTGATGTCAAGTTCATTTGTCATTGATCTGGTTATTTATTTATTTATTTTGCAGTGGATTGTCACATTCATACGCAAATCACAGGGAGAAAAATCTATCCAAGATAGATACTGATAGTCGGAGGTTTGATGACAGAAACACTGATTCAGCAACAACATTAGCAAACCAGGTTTTGCATTTAGCAACAATGAAATATTTTCAAGTTCTTTTACTACTATTGCTTTCTTGGCGTGCATCACGTCTTTCGTGACACTTCCAGAGATTTACCCTTCCTGTTGTCCTTGTTTCATAAGGGAGCTGTTACACATTTATCGGAACAAATTTCTACCTTGAATGATCGGATGGATGACTTTACATATAGAATGGAAGAACTTAATTCCAAGTTAAGCAGCAAAAGAGCTTCTCCGAGCACTCAAAATCTGGCTTTGCAAGCTGAAGCTTGTAATGGATCCGGCCCAACTTCTTACTTCATATCTGGCTTAGAAAATGGTTCCTTGACAGGATCGATTATGCCAAACTCCTCATCATCTTCTTCGCTAATTCCAAAGGAGTCCACGCTGATGGAAGAGGTACATTTTTCACTATGCTTTTCCCATGCAAACCTATGTTAATCATCTTTTTTTTTTTGTCAAAGTGGTCAATTTGCACTGTCTTCTGCTACTAAAGAGGCGGCCGGTGCACTTAGGTCCCGTTATGCTCAGAATCTTTTATTAGATAACTAAATTATTCTTCCTGAAGTATGCGAGGTTTTCTTACATTCTCTTTGTGATGCACAGCTATCTAATGTTGCACGTGGACAACGTCAAATTATACATCAGTTGGACAATCTTAGCAATCTTCTTCGCGACAGGCTAGGAGAACAATCACGGCAATCAAAAACAAGCAAGAGAAGAGATATTAGGGATATTGATTCGATCAGAGTACCTCTCGTTGTGACCTTAGCAGTTGGTGGATTGGGATTCTTTCTGTTTAAGAGCTTACAAAACAGAAACTGATTCTTCTTCCTAATGTGAAACTGTGCATCATTGCTCCTATAGACAATTTTTATTTCATAAGCCCCATGCTAGTATTTTGCTTATGGTACCCTTCGATCGGGATACACTAGTGTTCATGGATCAGACTGATCTGTGTATTGGGGCAAGAAAGGCAAATTAATGCTTTCTATTTCCCAGTGAGTTTTGTTTAAAGAAGGGGATGAATCTTGGCAAGTTTTGTTATACTTGTGGGGTTGCTTTGATTAAATATGTTCTTCAAAAGTTCAATAGGAGTTGGTCTATGTGAGGAAACATTTTTTGGGCCTTATTGTACATCTTGTATGTGCATAAAAAATAACACCTTGGTATCTGATGTTGAATACAGTACACATATTTTTCAAAGAGTTAAACTAAAAAAGTATAATTTTTTATGTCAAAACAGCACAGTATAGCCAGTTTTCGGATTGGTCATTCAAAAATAGTCAGCGTTTACCAAGTCAATGAAAAATAGCCACTATTTTGCTGCAACAGAGACCGGTCCAGCATAATATACTGGAGTTCGGTGCACCTGTGTATGAACTCCAGCATATTATGCTAGACCGGTATACTTTGCTGGCTCCAGTATAATATACTGGAGACTGGAGCACCGGTGCTCCAAACTCCAATATATTATGTTAGACCGGTATACTTGCTGGAACTCCAGTATATTATGCTGGAGTTCCAGTGTACTTATCCTGGAACTCCAGTATAATATGCTGGAGTTCAAGTATACTTATGCTGGAACTCCAGCATAATATACTGGCGTATTTTTCGGGTTTTGAACAGTGTTTTCGCTCAGATTTATCTTTACATGAAAAGTGGCTAAGTTTCGATTACTTTTAAAACTGGGCTATTTTTGAACGACCAGTTGTAAATCTATCTATTTTTGAATTTCTCCCTGTATATTATGCTGGACCGGTCTCTGTTGCAGCAAAATAGTGGCTATTTTTCATTGACTTGGTAAACGCAGGCTATTTTTGAATGACCAGTCCAAAAACTGGCTATACCGTGCTATTTTTACTAATATATTGGAGTTCGGTGCACCTGTGTATGAACTCCAACATATTATGCTGCATCGGTATACTTTGCTGGCTCCAGTATAATATACAGGAGACTAGAGCACCGATGCTCCAAACTCCAGTATATTATGCTGGACCGATATACTTGCTGGAACTCCAGTATATTATGCTGGAGTTCTAGTGTAATTATGTTCAAACTCCATCATAGTATGCTAGAGTTCCAACATACTTATCCTGGAACTCCAGTACAATATGCTGGAGTTCAAGTATACTTATGCTGGAACTCCAACATAATATACTGGCGTATTTTTCCGGGTTTTGAACAGTGTTTTCGCTCAGATTTATCTTTACATGAAAAGTGGCTAAATTTCGATTACTTTTGAAACTGGGCTATTTTTGAACGACCAGTTGTAAATCTGGCTATTTTTGAATTTCCACTATCGGGCCACCTTTACTTGCAAGATTATAAATTTCACTTTTACTTGTAGATATTTTTTGGGTAATCTGACAATGTAATTTACACTGTCGGGTATATATTTTTAACTCCTTGAAAAGGGAATAACAAAACAGAAGTAAGAAAAGAAAGAAAAACGTTAAGGTGAAGGAAAAAAAAAAGGAAAAATACTACAGAGGATCTTGAACTCTTGGCATTAAGCAAATTCACTAATGGGTGCCCAGGTACAAAATTAGTTAGTGCTATGAGAATTGCATATGGTAGGATACATACTTTAAGGAGGAAGCACGGCTTCCCGTGAACACAAATCCATAAATATGGAATTAATACGAGCTATATATATATATATCTATCTGATATCTATCTATATCTATATCTATCTATATTATTATCATTATTATTATTATTTATTATAAAAGCACGAATAATTTATGCTAAATGTTGAATGACTAAAATATCCCTGAAACATTGATCGGCTTTTATACCCTTAAATATTAGTATAATTTAAGGATCTAATGGTAAATTACCTAATGATGAAATTCTTTTTCGATTAAACTATACATATGCCCGACCCTACAACGTTGATCATACTTTAATTAGAAAAGTGCGTCCATAATTTTCTTTCAAAGAATTGTTGTTCTTAAGTATACTTCTTTTATACCTAGGAATGTACTAAAATAAAGGCACGCACTAAAAGAAAATTTTAGTACTACATTTTAAAAACATCTATAACATTTTAAAAAGCTGAAAATTCTTACTATCCTTTAAAGTCTTAATTTTATTAGTTCTTATAAATCTAAAACAAATTAAGTTAGTATCTTTTACCTAAATATTAGGAGCTACTACATAATTCAAATAAATTGAGTTATTTTTTAAAATATTAAATAATAAAAAATGATTAAACGATAATTTTTTAAAATATAAAATCTAATTTTAAAGGATAAAAAAATAGGGGCAAGTCTATATGGATATTTTTCTTTTACATGATAATAAAGTGGTTCTAATTATACAAATGAGATTGGCTCTTTAAATTACTTATTCTTACTTCAGTATGACTAATTGATTCATTTACAAAATATTCAAAGAAAATCGATGGATGTTAGATTAGATTTCCTAGAACAAGTTCGTCCAAGTCTCCTATGTATCGAGGTTTAACAAAATTTTCCGTTAATTGGTATTTTCATTAGATGCTCATGTGCCATGAATTATTTTCAATTCAAGCACGTCAAATTTATATTCAAATAAAAAGCAAAATACTTTAAAATAATATTATTTATGTATTATGCGTGATGATTGGTTATAAACAATTAATCACGGACTTGATTTATAAAAATATGTGCAGGATTAATATTTTATTGCTTTGAATATGATAAAGTAGTAATAATTTTCTCGGGTTATATCCGACATAATCTAAATTCGACATAACTTTATAAATAATAGATACAACCCTCACAAATATGTCAAAGTGCAATAGTGAAAAAGTAATACTTTTTGGAGGTGGTTCAAAGATGGACAACTATATGTTTGAGATGGAGAAGCCAAAGTTATAGAAGGAAACATACCCAAAAACTTCCTCTATAAAGAAGTATTAGATATGATATTACCACACTGAATATTTATACATTATAAATAAGATATCGTTTAACTTAACTAAATTGATCATCTTTGTAGGTTAAGACGATATCATTTTGAATTCAAGTATTCTATTAATGTAATAACATTAATCTTTCGCATTTAAATGATTGCTGTATTTCTATCACGTTAGTTACTTTACAATGATCGTATCATCTTTTAGGTAAATTGTTACTAAATTTAGTTAGTTGTTCTTTCACATAAAAGTTTTGACTAAAGAGTTACATAGTAACTTGTACTATATTAAAAGTCGGAAGCTCCTAAGTGTAAAGTTAAATTACCATATTGCCCTTCTTAGTAGTTTAAATACCCTATTTAATTATTAGGAAAAAAAAAAACTAATGCATACAAACAAAAGCCAAAACTTTATAACCTTGTTTTGAACAGAAGCCAACACTTCATAACCTTTTTTGAAAGAGAAGGACGCATGTTTAACTTACTCCAGCGAAGAGTGACTCTCGGGCCATTATCAATTTGGCTTTTGGAGTTAAGAGTTTGGTAGCACAGACGCGGTACTTTTGTTCTATGCACTTAAATTGGATTATTTCATGATTTATTCTTATAGGCATATGAGAAATCTGATGAACTCTCTTCCCATTCTTTTCAGTTTTATTATTAACGGATTCAATGGGGAAAAAAAATACTCAACTTTTTAGAATGGTAATCTAGACATGCAATGGGATACAACAGAATTATGAATCCTTAACTGAATACAGAATTTTATTGCTTTAGCGTAATATATGAGATGAGTTTATAATCTTTTATAAATATTTCACTTGAATGTTCTTTTGTGGTTTAACTGGTTAATTACGTTAAACATAATTCACGACCTTTGCTATTTGTGTTGTTAAAAATCTCTAAAAGTTTGGAATCATAACCAGATATTATTTAATTTGACGCCAAACTTGTTATTAGCATTTTCTTAAGATTATCGAACTGAAATGTTAATGAATGTAAGAATTAATGTTTTAGGGGTTCCATAATGTCTTGATAATGTTATTTCTGGAAAAGAACATCATGTACTTTGACTTTTGACGATCCAATCTTTGATACTCCCTCCAGTCCAAAATAAGTGATTTTTTGACCTTTTTTTTGTGGTCCAAAATAAGTGATTTTTTCAGATTTCAAGAATGAATTAATTATTTTTTTCCTACATTGTCCTTGAAGTAAATGGTGTTGGAATATGTGTTAGGAGTGTTTATGTGAGATAGTAAAGGTTAATATGGTCAATTCCATTGCTAATTAATGCTAAAAGATGGATTTCTTAATTTGCGTGAAAACATAAAAAAAAAAATCACTTATTTTGGACCGGAGGGAGTACATATTAACAGTCGTAGTTAGTTGTCTCAAATTATTTATCATTTTGGAAGTTAAGACAAAATTGATTGTTTTTCCCTCTTCTACCTTTAGTAATAATTGTTCTTGAAGATGGAGATAACACATAAATAGAATAAATATTCAATCAAGAGAGAATATATCTTAAGACATAAATAAGGGTAGAATAGTCCAATCCCTTTCCTAATTAATATTTCTTAAGGGGCGTGTAGAAAAGAAACACGACACATAATATGAGCCAGAGGGAGTAATTTTTATTTTGTGCTACTAATTCTGGATAGTTGAAGCTTGATGTGTTTTTCAAAATGATATACAGTAGTAGTAATTTTTATTCTAAAGTATCTTTGAAATCCAGATTGTTTTTACTAGGGTACTCTTAATTTAGATTTCTAAAAATCTGTGAGTGAGTAGGAATAATAACATTGACTTATAATAGAGGTATAAACTAGGAAATTTATTTTATGTTGGTTTCAAGGAACAAGAACAAACTTCAGTAATGAGCAGTGCAATATAGTGGTATAGTCATTTTATAATGAAAATCTTCATTGTGAAATATATACTCTATTTTGGCCGAGTTCTGGTTGTTAAATTTCTTTGCACTGTTTGCCATTTTCTCTTAATGTTCTATTTTGTGTTTCCGGTTTGAATTTTTTTTTATTTTATAAATATGCACCATTCCCTTCACTCCAGTTAATCTGCCTTTCCCCCCCTTCCTTTCCAGTGTAATTTCAGTAAATTCTTGAAATAAAAATATCAAGTCACTAGGCCTGGTTGCATATTTATAATTTAATTTATTAGCTAATGAACATTCAGAAAGTTAGAAAGCAAAGAAAAATAAATGTTAAAGTAACTATTTATGTGAGTTAACTATTTAGGTGAATTAGTAGATGATAA